TCCCCCCGCCGGTAGCGGGCGGGTCGCCAGCCCAGCGGGGGAGCCTCGGGAGCCGGGCGGGGATGTGTGTGTACGCTGGCCCTCCGGTGTGACCTTGTTTACCGGGCAGGGGCCGGGCAATGTCAGCGGCGGGGCGGCCTTGCCAGGATCTACGGGCACCGCGCTCCTCCCGCCGCTCGGGGTGGGGGGATTCGGTCTTCTAGAAGCAACCGGGCGGGTTGCCCAGGGCTGTGGGGAGCGGGTCTGGCCCGGGCGGTGGTGGGTGGCAGCTGTAGAGTTGCCAACCCCGAGGGGTGCCATGGTGTTTTGGGCATTAACCGGAGGGGAAGCGATCCCTTTGCATGAAGCGCAGGGACCCGGCGGTGGAAGCGCTAACAGGCCAGGGTGGGCGCGGAGGGTCGGTGGAGGTGCAAAGGGAGCAAAATTAGATCCCAGCCACAGGGTTTCAGGGTGCTTGACATGTAGGTCATCACTGTGACCTGGATTAGTGGTGAGCAAATATCGGCAGACAGCTGCTTTGATGACGCACCGGTCCCAAATCGCCATGCCACCCTTATTTACTCTCTCTAGGGCTGACCTAAGAGGTGACTGACTGAACTGTCAGTCGGCTCATCTTCCAGGGTCACGGATGAGCTGGGAAAAGCCTGCACACCTTTCCTCTCCGCTGGAGAGGGGACTTTGCTCTCCAGTGCTGCCTGGCTTTTTCCCAAGACGCCCGGTCTACTACACTAAGGGCAGGCTTTGCATGGTGCATTGAAGAATGGAGTTAATGCCAGCAAAGGACGTCCTGACATCCCAAATCTTGGTCGGTAACAGCAGGACCACGCAGCAATAAAACATCAGTACAAAATAATATAGCCTTAATACTCATATGTAACTCCTCAGTCCAGTTTTTTATATGCTTCTACACGTATACACAAACATGTATGCTTTTTTTAATGGGAAGGAAGATACATTCCTAACAAATTCATATTTTAATGTTTAATAGGCAGAGGAGAACACTTTACCCTATCATTAGTTATTTTCTTGAACTTTATCTCATTTTTGTCTTCTTTGTCATTATATCTGTTATCTCTGCTTACTGTTCTATTCCCACTGTACTTTCTGTTTTATTATTTTATTGCTCACTGTTTTATTATTTTATTGGGAGAGTTACGCTGTTATTGTTCCATCGGATATACTATGTTTTACCACAGTGATTGAATGTTGGCATATGAAATGTGAAATGAAGCAAAATGAAGACAAATAATAATAATAAATGTGACCATTTTGATTTTTCCTGCGCTTGCCAGAGGTTGAAAATTTGAGAATAGATGTTGGGGTATGCTTTTGACCATTTTAACTTTGTTTGCCTGCGAGTTGCAGATGACTTACAGAAATAAAAATATCATACAAATTTGTTTAAAATATGGAGCATGTGTAGGATAGTTTTTGTTTTGTTTCTTGTTCTTCTTGAAGCCGATAATCAATGGCAAGCAGGAATCTCAAGATTAACACTTTGCAATAATATCAGAGTCAAGAAAGTCCTCCGCGCTAGGCAGTTATTCTAGTTTATAGGGTCACTATTTCTGTTCCTATTCAGATACTTTATTTTATTCTGGTGGTGTGACGACCCTGATTAATACAAGTAACTTGAATGACCTTTACCCACTCTGTTCTGAATAGTGATAGTCAGTCTACTAGGAATAATTCCTGTTGTTTACGTTACTTTTCTTTACAGCAACTTGTTTTCTCAAAGTTTTCCTGGTAGTTATGTGCGATAAGGGGTGAACAAAAATTGTACATGGTTAGTTTAGCTCTGAACAAACAGTACAATTGTAGTTGCAGGAAATACAGGAAACGTGTTGCCCTCCCCAATTATTAAAAGGGCAAGGCTCCAGTGACTCCTGGATGCTTTTCAAATCAAAACAAACTTCTGCAAGAATTTTACACATCAGCAGCGTGACAACTAACAGTTTTATTACTCCACTGAGCTTCTGGAAGAAGTATGTCTCCATCATGCAAATTTGCTTCTCACTTTTTATATGATGGGTTATATATTACAGTAGGTTCTGAAGAATATAACTTTCCATTCCTGTAAACATAAATGGTATATCAGGGAAATAATTATTAAGGATGTCCTGAATATTGGGCAAGACAGCTAAGTTTTAGGCTCAAAGGTACCAATATATCAGGATTCAATGTCAGCCAAGCTGCATGAGAAGAAGACTAGGCTGTGAAAATTTTAAGTACTTCAAATAACTCCACACTCTATCCTGACTGCAGTACCGTTTGTTCTCACTTTACTTCCTCTCCAAACCACCATTTCCCCCCTCCTCCTGAAGCCCCAGTGCACGTGACAGTTGTAAGTGCAGGTTTTGGAGAACAGCGTTTTGATGGTGAAGGACAGTACCAGATTCTGAACTGCAGCATTCATCTGGTGGGGTCTCATTTCTGCTGCTTTAATATTTTAACTTTCCTCTTCTGAAGTGCTCAGGGGCAAGTTTTGAACCCACAGTAACAATGCTTTCAGTTGCTCAGTCACAGTAATGTTTTGCTGACTATTCTTAAGAAAATGGAGCTGTGTTAACATTCTGCTTTTTTGCACAACAGGTACATCCAGAAGAGTGGAACAAATGAAACCTGGATTGCTGTCCATTTGTCCCCTAAATGCTATCCATCGCAATCAGCTGTCTGCCTCCTCAGTGTTCCTTACGTCCTCCTCACTGCTGGAGACACAATGTGCTGTACTTAGGTCTGAGCCTGACTAGGCAGAATACGTGATAGCTGGCCACGTTGCTGATGTCTAACAGAAGGTGTCTTGGCTGATTTTGCCCTACCTTTTTCTCTGTGGGGACACAAATTTAGGGCTTTTCTTCCTAACCCAGCTGCCAACAAGCGTGGGAGACACAATATGCTGTGCTGGTGTGGGTGCCCTCTCCTGACCAGCCAGAGTACGTGTGATGACAACTGGTGGGGTTGCTCCTCTCTAGTAGAATGAGTCTTGGCTGAGTTTCCCCTGCTGTTTCCTCACTGTGGAGCAAAATTTGAATCTCTCCTCCCTAAACCATCTGCCAGTTTGTACAAAGTTTGTAGGAAGTTGATTATCTGTTCGAATTTGGTTGAAATGGTGAGGAGGGATGGTTTGGGAAGCAGGTGAAGAGGCAACATTATTTTTTCCTTGGGAAAACAGACTAACATTTTCTACTCGGGACAAAGGCAACTTCTAATTCAGCTTTTGTAAGGAAGGGTAAATGATGACCCAGGAGGAGCAGTAAGTCAGGGTGGAAAATAACGATAGCACTAGAAAGTTTTGAATGTATGCAGAAGGAATGGTCTGATGACTGAAGGGCTTGAGCTGTATTTGCAGCACTTTTGGAAATTTCCAGCAGTACCGTGGGCAAAGTGCTCAGATGGGTCTGCCTTTGTGCAGTTGATACTTTAATCTACTAACACATTTGTTTTCTAAGTATTTATGTGGCCCTTTGCATGGAAAAAAAAAGACAGAAATAGCATTACAAACAAGGGTCATATCTTCCCGTTCTCGTCTTTCTATCACCCGACGCTGCAGCCGCAGGAGCTGTCGAGCTGCCCAGGGCTCCCAGCGTGGCCAAAATAGCCGAAGTAGGTGAAAGGTTGCGGAGCAGCACACAAACAGGCTGGCGTGCCCAGCCCCGCTGCCGGTTCAGTGAGGGAAAGGTCCTGCAGCTGCTCCAGCGCTTGCGCAATCTCCCCTCGGCCGCTCATAGTTTGCAAAAGTCAAGAGTACAGTAGCTGGATCGTTTTACTGCCGGAGCTGCGGGTGGCCGGCAGCCTGCTTGGAGCTGTAAACACCAGGACGTGCATGGCAACCCAGCAGCCCTGAACAGGAGACACCCTTTTTTCCTCATTCCCTGCCTTTGTTATCCATGTCTGAAATTGTGTGTTAACTGCTTTAAAACCAGGCGAAAGGAGAAAGGATCGCTGGTTTCAAAATCGCTTTTCCAAAGAATAGCGAGAGGTTTGCATGAGATTAACTGTGGGCGTCTCAGACTGGGAATGTAGAGATAGCAGAGAGGGAGAAAACTGCTTTGGAATATAGCTGTACCCTTCAGGGAAAAAAGCTAGGACTCAAACTGTGATAAAATATCACTTAAAAGTGTTTATCTTGAAAAGCTTGTCACTAGAGCGTGTTGAATTCAGGAGGCTGTTTACTATGTAGGAGAGTAGTCATCTTCAGCCAAGTACACTGTTGCAGAGGAAGTAGAGGTGAACTTTAAGGGTGGGCACGGATCTAAAGTATATAGCTACACAAAAAAATGTCCTTCTCCAGCCTCAGCTGGCTACCGTAGCAGTTCTTGTGGAGGAGCATGTGCCATCCGTTATGACAACTGCTGACGCAAAGGAGAAAAAAAGAGGAAAGGTAACATCAGGACAGCTGCCACCCTGCGCCATGGCTACCTTTACTGGGAACAACCCTGCTGTGGAGAAGAGCACCTGGGAAAGGGTGGACAACTTGTAAAAAGTCAGAAAAAAGTGAATGTTACCAAAAGAATACAACTTTTAAGGCCTAAATGTTTCAGCAGAATCAGAAAATAGATACATTTTTCTGTAGGAATATGGGAAGGGAGTTAGTGGAACAAGATGGATCAATTTAAAAGTTTTGGATTAGACCTCCTCAGAAAACACGATACCCTGAGAATAAGAGCTTCATCTGTAAGTCTTACACTAGTCATGGGCTTTGAACTCGTACACATACTGCTTTTCTTTTTAAGTGTGGACCACTCTGGGTGAAGATGAGGTGGTTTTGCTAATTGTTTTAAATCAGCTGCGCTTGATACAGTTGACTGTAGCAGAACACTTGGTAAAGTGGATGTGGTGGCTTGAGTTTCTGCTCAGAGCAATAGCCTTGAACAGTTACTCCGGGTTATTTTGTCCAAGGCTGATCTTAGAAAGCACTCTGTTTCCCCAGTTGTTCCCTCTCAGCATCTCTTTCATCAGGTCTGGAAAAATTTATTTTATTTTAGTGTCTGACATAGGAACTTGAATGAGAAATTTAGCCTAGGAAATACTGAGATAAGACAAGGGACATCATCTAGAAGAGGACTCGCTACGGTGTTATTTGGCCACTCTTTCGGAAGAGATGCAGAATTTATGGTATTAGTGGAATGACGCTTCCCCCTGGTGTTTCGGATTACTTAAGGGAAGTTTGTTTCCTGTTTGTAATGGTGTGACTATTATTACTGAAGTGTGAATTCACAGATATTAATAAGTTGATCTCATAAAGATTGAATTTCCATAATTTACTCTACAGAAGATAACCACAGTTATCTGTAAGTATATATCAAGTAAGCCTTTGGGAGTATTCTTATTCATGAAAAGTATAAGCACATGCTAAGTCATAATAGCTGCAGATAATATGAAAATGTGTATTAAAATAGTCCTGATAAACAAACAGTACAATAAAACTGTTGCACTGCACAATTAAAATTGTTGGCCATTGCGTCCTAGTAAGTAAAATGTTTTTGTGTCATATGATAACAGGTATCTAATTATGGGTAAATCATCAATGCAACGTTGCTGGAACA